ACAGTGTTATAATTGAAACGTCTTTTATTTGCATATATAATCCTGCTGCACATCATAGAACACATATGTATCACAATCGACATATGTATTATCGTTATCGAACTCCAACATTTCATTCAAGATATAATACGCTAGGAGGTAAAAATTTGTTTTACTTTTTCACATATTTAATTCTATAAATTATGTATATACATATATATATATATATACTTATATATATAATTTATAGATACAACAACAGGTACTACATCTTCTCGTATGCATCCTGTTCAAGAAAGATTATGGATGAACCAACAACGTGTTCAAGAGGTTCACAGAAGAAGACTTTATCCAAGATCTTCGTCGCATCATGCGTTAGTTTTATTTCTTTTTTTCTTTCAAATTTTCTATACAATTGTTATCTTTTGATAAATTAATAATATTAATTATTTTTCTTTTTTAAGTAGCAGTTGTATGCCATCAAATACGCACTTAAACCAAACCACAGAGCATGAGCATTCTTATAGAAATTGTTTTCCACCAACTCATATTCATTCGAATACCCACTGTAATGGAAATGATGCTGTTCCATTTGCTGAAAATTATATTTCACCTTCTCTTATACCACCACGATTATTACCATCTAGAGTCTTGCCACCACCCCAACAACCGACTGTTTACAGTCATCCAGAAGCAAGAGGACCACCAAATTTTGCTCCTACTTGTGCACCAACTATGATGGTAAAAAAAAGAACATAATAGTACTTATAAATTGATATATATATATATATCATGTTTATATACACACATACATATGTGCAGGTAAACCATTTAAGTGATGTAGAAGAAATGGAACCTTCTCAGGATATGATGACATCAATACCAGTTCATCAACATGTTCATCATCATATGTATCATTACGATACACATCCACAAATACCTCAGCGTATGCATCATGTGCATATAATGCCTTCACGTATGCATCATCTTCACATAAGTTTCTCTCCAAATTTGGTAAGTCTTAAGATTTAATGTGTAAATTTTAATTGTAATATACAATGTGTCTCTAATAAACAATGTTTGATATAAATCTTTTATACATTTGTATACAGCATACATCTATAACACGTGGAAATACGTTACCACCTACAACAGGTTTACCAGATTTAATACTACATCAACCAAGACATATATCTGCACGTCTTGAAAATTACATGCGAATCGTTGATCTACGGCGTATGGCTCATATAAGTTATGGTGCCACCCAAGAATCTATCGAAAATCACACATTCCCACATAAATACAAACGGGTAAAAAAATGATGTTCTGTTTTTCTTTTTTATTTCATTTTTTTTTCTTTTTCTTTTTTTCATTTCTTTTAATTAATATAGATCATCCATACGAATGATATTAACACATGAAATTTTTCTTTATTTTTAGGTGAAAAAAGTAGAAAATGGTGAAGATGCAATTGAAAAATGTACAATATGTTTATCAGAATTTGAAGATTGCGAAAGTGTGAGGTAAATTTTATTTTATATTATTATCTTTTTTTTTTTTTTTTTTTTTTTCCTTTCTTTTTTTCTTCCAATATATTTTATTTAATTTTATTTAATTAAATATTGATCCTTTCCTTATTTCTTGCAGGAGGCTTCCATGTATGCATTTATTTCACATAGATTGCGTCGACCAATGGTTGTGCACCAACAAGCGTTGTCCTATTTGTCGAGTAGATATTGAAACATTTTTGCAAAAGGAAATTATTGTGTAGCTTTTGATTAATAAGCTCCATCTGTTACATTTCACATATTACATAAAAAGAAAAAAATAAAAACAAAAAAAAAACAAAAAAAAAAAACAAAACAAAAAAAGAAAGAAAAAACTAACAGATGTATATGCTTTGAAGGTTCTTCGAAGAACTTACTTTTTTAATAGTACAACGCGTACAGGTTTGAAAATTTTGCTATACATAATCAAATAACAAATACAGCCAGAGGCATAAAGTTAAGGCATATTTATAGTTGACAAAAGAACAAAAAAAAAGAAAAAAAAAGAAAAGAAAAGAAAATATCTTTTTATTTAATTTTATTTGTATGATATATTCACACATTTTTTATGTATATTATTAGTTGTAAATATTGGTGACTAGATTAGATATATAAATGCATTTTCAACATATATGTTTTTTAAAATCTCCAAAATTATAATAGGCAATAATACGAGAAATAGTTCTCTTTCTTGCATTAGATTGATTATATGAAATGTAAAATAATATTATCTTCTTTTTTCTTTTTTCTTTTTTCATTTTTTCTTTTTTTTTTTTTTTTTTTTTTTTTTTTACATATAAAACGGTTAACATTATTATTGATATTTGTAAACACTTGTAATATCTTTTTGTGAAAATTAAATCAAGATGTTATAATATTCTATCTAGCGTTTCTATTTCAGGAACTTGTCTACCAAAATGAACTTGAATTGAAAAAAAAAAAAAAAGAAAGTTAGAAGAACAATTACAAAAAGAAAGTACTTCCCTCTTTTCAAGGTTTTTATCTAACTCGAATTGTTTTTTTTATATAAAAGTTATATCACGAATACTGTCTATGACTATTCTTAATAGTATAACGAGATCTAAATGTGTATTATGTGTTACACAATAAAAAAAAAATAATATTGTTTTTATATTCATATTTATATAGAAAATTATATAATTAAAATCTAAGTTACTGTTAGAAAGTAACATGTGTAATTAAACAAATTTAATTTTTGCTTAATTTTTCGTATTCGATTTATAATAACAATATGGTATTTATTGTGGTGCTAACTTTATAAAAAGAATTACATCTGGAAGACATATAATGCATAATTAATAAAAAGAATTAAAAGCTATCCTGTAATTCTACAATTTTCATAACTATCTAAATTTTTCGAAAGGATAAATATAAATAATTATAAAAATTAAAAATATAATGCCTTATTTCAATATACTTTTGCATTTGCTTGACATTTTTTATTAATCATGATTTTGTATATATTTATAAGAGCATACAAAATATCTCTGAGTATGTATATATTATATAATATATTACATAAATAATACAGATACATAAAATCTTTATTGGAATGTACAAGTAATGGTAGTATCACAATCATTTTTAAAATTGTACATTAAATTTTTGTGATGTTTTGTTTCATCCTAGCAATTTAAAGAATCGTCATCTAATTCATACTAACCATAGACTCTCATTTTTATTTATTTATGAGAATAAATAAAAGCGATAAATGCTTTAATTTTTAAAATATTAATTTTATTATAGATACTTATTATTAAGTCCCATAAGAAAATCCATGTACGTTGGTTTTCAAGTTTAGAAATATCTTTCATACTTATTTTATTTCTGTGTTGGTTATATAGGAAATATATGTATTCCATAACAATGCAACTGATTGTACAAGTAATACTTGATACTGTAATGGAATAAAATAAAAATTGACTAACTGTACCATAGGCCAAATCTAAAAGAATAAAAAATAAAAATTAGAGAATTCAATTTCATATATATATATATATATATATATATATATATATATATATATATGATGAAGATATATATATATGATTAATTTAAATAATAATAAGTTTTAAATGTATTATAATAATTTAAAAGAAAAGAAATATTTGTTACCTTATAATTGTTTAGTAGTATTTCAAAGTAATTAGTTTTCAATTTATGTTTTAAACTATCAACATCATTCCCTTGTAACAATCCGATAGAAACGAGTAAAATAGCTAAAAAGGAAGGAGCAAAGAGCAGTTGATCGCATAAAACTTTCTTCACAACTACAACTCCTCCTTTCGAACCAATATATTTATCTAATATACGATACCATGTTGTAGTTGCCGGACCCTGATAAAAAAAAAATTATATAAAAAAAAAATATTCCAACAACTTTCATCTTTACTTATAAAATATTCATTATAATTGTCATAAATTATAACACTTCTTTAAATAAAGTTTTGCTCTACTCACAGCTATAAAAAAGCCAATACTAATAAAATGACTAGTTCTTGCAAAATCCAAATCTTTAAATTTTTTTCGTTCTACTAAATTTTGTGCTAATTGATCGCCTAGTCCCATTAAAATACCTGCATTGTTAAGAAAGTTTAACGATAATTAAAAAGAAGAAAAAAAATAAGATATATTATAGTAAAAACAATACAAAAAAGGAATACAATTTAATATTACCAGCTTGTACTGCTTGAGTTCTCACTGGATACTTTGACAGTAACTTTTGATATGATTTAAAAATAATTCTCATATTGACGTGCGTAATATAACTTATTATGAAGAGATTCTCAATGGAATATTTAATACGACTGTATAACTACTGCACTATAACTACGGATTAACCTATTTCTAAATTCATATTAGAAAGCATATTTGAATGATTATTAAAAACATTATATAAAACAGCTGACGTATTAAATAAAATATTTAAGATGAAGAGAAAAAAAATATTTCGATAAAATTTTATTACACATAAATCTTATTTCAATAAACGATTATGTGTATTTTATAATATTTATAACTATTTCGGCGCATGCGCAATGTCGTAAAAAGAAAAATATGCATAATATTTCATCATCAACGCGGTGAAGTATTATTTAATTATTTAAACAGTACGTAATATAAGGATTACAAATGTATATTACAATTTTATTAATAAATAATATAAACAATAATATAAATATTAATTAACGATAAATCAATATTGAAAATACTAAAAATTCACATTACTAATCCTATTATCATATTAAAAGTGAAAAAAAAAAGAAAAAAAAAATTATTAAAACTTTTTGATTAGTAATAGTCAGCTGTAACAGTCTTCGACTTTTGCGCATTCTCCGATATTTCGTGCAAGATCATTAGAAACAGATAACAGATTTATTTCAAATAATATTATCTAATTAGAAATTGTTGGCAAATTTTTTATTAAAAAATTTAAATTAAATTAAATTTCTAATCTATTATGCATCGTTTCCGATTAAAAATCAGATATTCAATATTTTATAGATATACTCATAACCTTAGAATATTCTAGATATTTAAATAAATGCTATAACAATTTTATTCGAGAGAGAGAGAGAGAAAGAGAGAGAGAGAGAGAGAGAGAGAGAGATACAAACGAGGAGAGGAAGAAAGAGAGAGAAAGAGAGAGAGAGAGAGAATAAAGTTCTCAGAGTAATATTTTGAAAGAAATATCCTATGTATCTAGAATTTCGTTGGACCAATCAGGCAAAGAGTTTCTTTGATCATGCGGCAAATGCTGGGTGAATAGAAGAACGCAGGCGCAACCCCACCCATTGGGGTTCATGACAAATGGAACTTAACTTCCGGTTTGATTCAGGCTCCGTAGAATGTTTTTCGGCTTTAGGCAGTACCCTTGCGCAGTGTCACAGTTATCCTACGTCATCCGTCATTTTCTTCAACTGCACTTGCAATTTGCAGTTCTATATCTCCGAGGGATATATTTTGTTTGTCGTATGTCCATCCAGAATCTCAACACATTCGGTAAATATAACATTTTTCATATTACAAATATACCTTGCTGTTCGACAAGATAGATACGACAAAATGGCGATGATAGCGTCTTTGCATCATAGTGTGCAATCGAGTCATTTACATTATGTATTTCATTTATTCACATTTTCCTCTCTTATATCCTCATATAATTTATTTTTTATATTTAATTACCTCTTTCTTTTTTCTTTCATTCTTTCTCTCTCTCTCTCTCTCTCTCTCTCTCTCTCGCTCTCTTTCTCTCTCTCTTACTTTCTCACTCTCTCTCTCTCTCTCTCTTTCTCTCTCTCTTTCTCTCTCTCTCTCTTCATTATATTTTATCGATGAACTTTGAAGACTAAAAAAAGAAGAAAACGAAAGAAGAAAAGAAAAAGAACAAAAAATTCTTAATATAATTTCATATATATATATATATATATATATAATATATATATATGGTATATATACATCACGTATACATATATATATATACACATATACATATTTTATATATATATATATACATATGTAATCACAACTGTGTATATGCACCATTTTGATATGAGATAACAGAATAGTTATTACTTTGAAGAAATTTGATCTGTCATGAATGATTGATTATGATCTAATGTATATCTTTCTTTTCTTTTTTTTTGTTTTTCTAGACCCCTTTGCAGATGCAATCAAGGGTTCAGATGATGATGTCCAAGACGGTCTCGTGCATATAAGGATCCAACAGCGGAATGGTCGTAAGACCTTAACAACGGTACAGGGGCTTTCTTCTGAATATGACTTGAGAAAAATAGTACGAGCATGTAAAAAGGTAAATATTATTCTACAGAGCTATTAGTTCTTGTATTTATCATTGTGAAGTCACTCTTTTTGACTTTCGTAAAAAGTTCTATAAATAGAATTGATGCAAATAAACCTTGAAAACTGACAGCTGGCAATAAGAATGTAAACTAATTTTATTTTTATATTTAACGTGTACATATTAGTTAATATAAGCATTATTGATTTTTATTTATATTGATATTATGTACAAAAGATATCTATATTAACAATCTTTAAATACAGATATTGAAATGTGAGTTAATAGTTTAATGAATTTTTTAATTCTGTTTACTATGTGATTCTTTCTTTTTTTTATTCTCCTCCTTTTTTTTACTCTTTTTCTTTTAAGAATAATTGACAAGAGTATCAACACCACAAAATTAATATCATTGTTTGTTCAATTATTATAAAAGGATCATCTGGGGATATACTGTTAAATTATTTTCTGCAGGTTATATAAATAAACAGACAAAGAATAATGACTTTATGATAATATAACCATTCATACACAAGAATTACATACATTGTAAAGATATGATATGAATAATTAAGGAATGAAATTAAATATTTTTCGTCTTTTCTTTTTCATTTAAATGTTTAAATTAATGGTAGATTAAAAAAATATTTTGTTATTAAAGAATGTATATTAACATAAAAATTAATATTCTTTGCAATAGTGACATACAACTAATGTTTTTTATACTAATTAATGTTTACTTAATTAGGCTTGATATATCAAGAGAGATTGAAACTTATAAGTTAATGGCTATTTATAGATCTATGTTTTTGATATTTAACAAAAAAAAAATAAAAGAAAGAAAGATATAGAGAGAAGAAAAAGAAAAATGGATATAATATTTTCTAGGAGTTCGCCTGCAATGGGACAGTAATTGAACACCCAGAGTACGGGGAGGTGCTGCAGCTGCAGGGGGACCAGCGAGAAAATATATGCCAGTGGTTAACAAAGTCAGGTCTGGCCAAACCTGACCAACTCAAAGTCCATGGTTTTTAATCGACAAACCACCCATGCCACTATATAAGGCAATTCCACATTCATCAATATATAATACCTTATCATCTTAAATTATCTGTATCAGTCACTATCACTTGTTGATACTTCGTGGGATACCTTATTATATACACATATATATTTCAATAAAAAAAAAAAAATAAATAAAATAAAAAAAAAACTAAAAAAAAAAAACTATATAACACAGTACCGAGATATAGGCACAATATTCTAATCAGACGTTTTTTCTAAGATTTTAGGAAGCAATATTTTACCGCTTTATGTTAGATAATCCAATGAAGGTGTCACGCTTAAAATAATAGTGATAATAGTAGAATTTTGAGAAGATAAGTATACAAAGGATAGACAGAAATAGCAACAGATGGTTTGGTTCAGTAATAGATAGTATGTATCTGGGCGCTATAGACGTGTTCAGAGAGAGATTGAAAAGTATTGTTACCTTAGGCTTCGAGATTGGCTTCTTTATGTAATCAAGAATGCGTTGGTTTATACATTAGGAAAAGCAAACTTGGTGTTTGCCCTCTTGGTGTCATCTTTTTAATTTTGTGCCTCTGATTTTATACAAATTACATTTTTGTTTTCTTTCTTTATTTTTTTTTTATTTTCTTTTTCTTTTTCTTCCTCATTTTTTCTCATTATTTCTCATTATTTCTCATTCTTTTTCATTTTTTTCTCATTTTTTCTCCATTTTTCTCCTTTTTTTTTCATTTTTTTCCTCATTTGTTAAAAAATAAATTTTTACTGTAACAAATGTTATTTCAAATGTTAAGCTATGTTTCATATTCTTTCTAATGCGGTAATTAACGAAAATTTATTGTTCACAATAAAAAGATGTGGCTGTTCTCTAAAGTAAATAAATAGTAATTTGACTTGAGTTTTATGCGTCGATTTATCTTATTTTTTTTTAACCATATTACTGTTACTAAACTACTATTACTACACTACTACTACATACTTGTATCGTCTGAAATAATGATAAGATCGTGTAAATTGTGTCTATTTCACATAAGTATTTAGAAAATTAATTTCAATAAACAACAAAGTTGTTAATATTAGTAATTTATATGTAATTTGAACTTTCCTCAATCGTTGAAAATAATATAACTTGCTTAAAAAAATTCATTAAGACTTATTGTATCCGTTTTCTGTTTGTATTTGCTTAAGCATCGATCTAGTTTTAAAACACCAATGTTTTGTAACTATGATGTTTTCCAAAATATAGTCAATATATAAATCATGTTTTTTATATTTTCAACTTTATCATTATAATTATCATTATTGTAATATAAAATAAGAGAGTAAAAATACTATTTCATTGATGTCCAAACAATTTTAATTTTGTTTGAAATTTTTATTTATATTGCAAAATTACATTTATATTGAAATATTTATTAAAATAATGAGAGAAAAAATTTGTATATAAAACCAAATATATATATATATAAAAATAATATATATATATATATATATTATATATTTTATATATATTATATATTTTATATATATATACATATATATAAAAATAATTATGAAAGAGAAATATTAAAGAAAATTGATGTTAAAATATACAGACCCATAGAAACATGTTCCGGCATTGTTATCCGGATACAATAATCGAGGACACGACTTTCACTTTTACTATGGCAGTTCGATCGTAAACTCATCGTTACAAATATAAAACGTACGTAAGTATTTTGTAAAAAGACATTAACAATCTATAAATAATTAATATATAAAATTACGTTGACATTCATGTAACTGAGAAAAAATAATTATGATAATAATGCTAATAAAATAATAATTATCATTGCAGGAAATTAACAAGAATACATATAAATATATTTTCTACAATATTTTTGAGAAGAATCTAATAAAGAATCTGAAGTTATGAAGTTGATAGTTCGTATTTTTTTTCATATTCATTTCAATCTTTAATTGTTATAGTATTATTTCAATACAAACCTGATAGATCATTTGGTTTTTCAGTTGTCTGATGATCCAAGCACTTGCCTATGATCCAGACGATAAATCTTTGAAAAATATCTTATTACCTGGCGGTCAATTTGAAGCATTTTATTTAAAGGGAAAAGAAGCTGAAGAACAAAATGCTGCGAGACCAGCACATCTACATGGAACTTTTCATCTTTACAGAAATCCTGCTTTAGTTGATGCACCTAACAGTGCCGCTTATGGTTTTCGATTTGATGGAAAACGTCGTTTCAATTTTAATTAATTTTTTTTTTCTTTTTCTTTTTCTTTTTACATCATACTATTAAACTAATATAGCAACTTAAATGAATCTAATATTTAATCTACATAAAGAATAGATAAATTTATTCTTTAAATCTCTCACACAATTTTCTAATATATTTCTAAAAATTATATATTCATATATACGAGAATAATTCTATAAAAAAATTTTATTATATTAAGGTTATACGATTGATGTGTGTTGTGTGTGTGTGTGTGTGTGTGAATATAATTTACATTATAAGAATAGAAAAATATTTTTAAATATATCAAACGTTATTATCTTATAATCGCGAATCACAAATATATATATATATATATATATATATATATATATATATATATATATATATATATGTAAACATGTATTAAGCTATATAAATAAATGTGTGCGCACTTCATTAATATATCTATAATACCTTATATAACAATATTTTGATTTTTAAAAATATATCAAATATGATGAGACATTCAAAGAATATGTACAGAAATTCCAGATTTTTATATATATGATTGATACAATGCTATTTGATTTTTTTTTCTTTTTTTTTTTTTTTTTTTCCTTTTTTAAGCAATATATGTTTACATGATACAAGATTCAACAGTTTTCTTTACAGCATCTCGTGCGTATGGTATATATGATAAGGAATACCAAGTCATTGCTATAGATTGAATAATGATAAATATAAGAGCCAAACCAGGATTGTGTAACTAAAACATAAAGACAATTTAATCATATAATTGTTCCAATGATCAAATATGTCACATGTTTTACTTACATGTAAAGCTGCAAATAATGTTATACCAATCGATACGAATACTAAAATAGTTGCAATAATTCTTGTTGCAGCAAACATCTTTTTTATTTGATTTACTGGACCCATCAAAAAGCAAGTACTGCAAGAGAAATTATCTATTAAAGTAGAACAATCTAAATATAAGAAGACCTAGCAATATTTTATCACAACACAAACTGTTAGGATAGAAATATATGAAAATAAAAAATATATGTATTTCTAATTTTATATACAATACTCTCTACCTTGCTAGTGAAATGATATTCCCTAATGTATAAAATATTGCAAATACTGTGAGTCCTTTTCTTAAAAATAAGGCGAATGATCCAAGGAAGGAGCAAAGAATGCCTATGACAAAACAAATTGCAAAACCTTTTATGCGAGTTGACCAACTTAGTGTTGTTTGATCCATAACCTATAAAAGTGAAATTATTAATTTTTTTTTTTACATCCTATGCTTATAAAAATAATAAAATAAATTTGCAAGTCACACATAAATGATAATCATTCTTTTGAAAAGACAGACTTACCACAAAATTAACATCAGCCTTCCATTATAAATTGTAAGCAAATAATATGATAAATATTTTATTATTATAGAAATAATGATGTATATATATATATATTTATATCCATATAAAATAGGAAGTATATTCTTAGAGCTAATATTCATTAATGAAACAAAAAGCTAATATTATTACCTGTGTAATGATACCACTTTCTTCATCACATTCTTCTTTACCGCTCAAAGCTCTCCTTAACTTATCCATGATTAATTATAATATATTAAATGATTTATCTATGTTTCAATTTAGACATTAAAAAAGAAATCTTTCTATGAGCAATATTATAATTATTTCTTTGATTTAGAAAAACCATTCACGTTTGAATAATGTAATTACTATTGGTATGTCACATTTCATGCATATGAGAAAACTATCTAATAAAATAATTGTCAACTTATGTTACTCGTTGGAATGAATTTGACTGAAGAAAAGAAACAAATGATTAATTTATTTAGTACTAAATATAAAACATAAGGAACGACGTAAATACGTATGTAGTAGTATTTAATGAAATTCCAAGAATCTTCGAACTTCCTACCACTTCCAGCTCAAATTTGTTAACATTGACAAATTCTGCAGACGCCCTCTTTACTATCAACGGGTAAATATATGCATATATATTTTATCAAGGGATACGTCGATAAGATAATATCATATGATTAGAAACATGTTCACAGCTGTGATGGTAAAATAGTGACGCCAAGTGGTGATCATTGAAAGTTAAAGGCCGGACATTAACCTAGAAAATGTAACAATGATTGACATAATACGATACAAACATTCAATCTAATGAAATATCTTATTAAAAAATTAGATTATATTCACAGTGAATTAATTTAATTTGTTTAAATGTTTTTTAAAAATTTGTTTAATAATGTTTTAAAAAAAAATTCATTATTGTTTAAACAATTATACGGATCTTAATTAATTATTAATTACTATTAATAATAAGCTATATATTAAAAGATTAAAAGTATTAAAAATATCTTAGAAATTGTTTAAATAAATATTAAACAATCGAAAAAGATTATTAATTAAATGAACGAACACGGAATAACAGAACTACGATGTTTTCTCTTCGAAATACGACGATCGACTAAAATTCAAAGTCATGTGTATCTTTCGAGTTCGATTTCGTTTATATCGTAAACAAACCAGAGACGAACGACTTTCATAGTAATGTAGAGTGATGTAATCAGTCAGTCTTCTGTAGGATTTCATTGAGTAAACGTCGACAATGATCAATCACCCAAATTTTGTGTGCGTGTATTAATATAAATTAAATTTTCTTTTCTAACCTAAACTTCTAAGATTGGTTGGACCTGGATAATTAGTGTTACTTTCGTTTAATTACTGTTTAATATATTTATTATAAGATTATTATATAAGTTATATTATAAGTGTTATATTATAAGCGTTATATTATAAGTATTATATAAGTTTTGATTTTTTTTTCTGAAAGAACTCATGAATTAATCAATGATACTGGTATATTTTACTCATCAGCTGTTCGTAAAGCATGCTGTCATGCATCATCGTCAGTGTAGGTGAATGTAGTTCTAGTATAAAAAATATTTTGTATAAGAAATATGAAGGTTAGTGTTTTACAATATTATCTTTTTAATTAAAATATCAAACAGCAGGATATAATAATCATGAAGGATGGTGTAATATTAAATCGAAATAGATAAATTTCTGCCATGAAATTTTTTTTTAGGTTATACAATCCTACTTGCCATTAATAAAATTTTGTAAAAAAGATATTATCAGAGGTAATTCGAAGAATTTATTTCCTTTATATTTGTAATTTGAGGCAAAATGAAATCATCGTAATATTTATTAGTAAACATAGATACGAACGTAGTTCTATCTACTTTTTTAGGACGCTTGCTAACTCGACAAAATAGTGGAAGTGGACATCGAGTAATAGGTTTTACAACGATAGAGGATTTTCATCTACGATATCATCGTGATTTATCGGCGAAAAAGAAATTAAGTACATCGATGTAAGTCTCATAATATATTTACGAAGAAGTAACGAAGTTTCGTAAGAATAGATACTTCATATGTGAAACAAAAAATGTCAAAAATTTTTTCAGTTTAGATGATTTAAATAATCTCATATTAGTTAAGTGATTAGAAAAACACATATACATACACTTTATATCCGTGGAATTTTCATCAATATTATTTTATAATTTTAATTTATAATTTCTGAACTTTCCGAAGTTTCTCGATTTTTGGCCTTAAATGTTAGATCAAAATCATCAGGAAATTTAGAACGATATTCCGTGAAGTCTTCGTGTTTACAATAACGTGTAAAGAAAGTTAAATATTGCATTTCTTCTTCCGTTGGCTCAGCATAAGAAGCTACCTTTTCTGTTTTCTCATAAATCGGTTTTGAGCGCCATTTTAATTTTCGTTTACTTATTGTCGGTCTCTTCATGATACGGGTTAGTGAATCTAATAATTGAAGCATTAGATTGAACTAGAACAAAAGAGAAGACAAGATGATTAGGTTAATTTGAATCAATCGACGAAAAGAGAGAAAGTATAACATATATTAAATTAATTTTTGTTAGCTTATTCATTAATATACAGTAGATATATTAATAGGTAAAGAATATTGTAATATTCTTTACATAATAATTATAAAAAAGAAAATTGTATAACCTTTCTGGCAGCATCTTCAGCTTCTTTGAGAGCTTTGAGTTCTTGTTTGAAACCTTCTTTTTCATATTTTTTAACTATTTCATAAGGTAAAGTATCCAATTCTAAATTGAGTTTCTCATGAGTCTTTTCAATTATTTTTATCATAGTGAAACTATTGAATTTAGCATCATTTGGTACTATGCAAGTTTCATATGCATCTTGAATAAAAACATATATACAAAGAATATCTTCGGAACACACTAAATCACGAAATACACCTTGCAAAAGGTAATTTGCGTATTTATGCAAATTCATTGCTCTTTCCTCTGCTTTATAAATCAAATCCTAGATTAAAAGATATTAAAGAAAGGATTGCAATTTATTAGTTGATGTTATCTCAATGAATGAAACGCATGTGTGATTAGGAACAATCGTAGCAATTGATGGGAGAAATCGCCATTTTATTATTTCATCATTTTCTTTTCACATATTTTATGATAGTCTCATTATATTCTTTCCTATATATATATATTTGATAATATATTGATAATGTATCTATTGAAAAAATACTATATATATTTATACTATATATATATATAAATATATTTTTTATGATTAGTATAATCTACAAATGAAGAATATAATTCTGATAGAATTGGTATAAATATAAACATTGCACATAAACATATTATTTGCATAGATTAAGTATATGTGAAAAGAAAAATGGAAGATTGCCTCCATTAAGTTCCATTTTTTTTTTTTTTTTTTTTTTATTATATACCTACTTCCAATTCTTCAATACTATCAGTAATTTCATCGAATTCATGTTCTATTCGATTTTCAGCTTCTGTCATTGTTATTAGCATCTTAACTAAAGATGCTTCTAATGATTCCAAATGTATCAAGGAGTTTAAATTTTGTGTCTCTATTGTTTCAAATACGTATAGCAGATCGGACGGATCGTCGAAGTAAAGATCAGTGGGGCCTGCTTCTATTAAATCTTCTTCGAATATATCTATCAAAAAAAAAAATATATATATATATATATTTTTTTTTAATATTAACAAAATAAAAAAAAGAAAGAAAAAACAAGTACTAGATAAATATTAGTCGAAAATGTAAGTACTTATTAAATAGTCAAGTGATGCAGCTTCTGTGGCCATCTTGTAACGACTAAAAATGTCAGCAGTAGTCCCAAAAAATATACTTTCTCCCGATTGTGAACGATAAATCCAATCGTACTTGTTTCTCCATGAAATCGGTGAAATTTGAAATAAAAATCTTTGACACG